TTATTCATGAGAGACCCAGAGAGAGAGGCAGAGACACAGGCGGAGGGAGGAGCAGGCCCCATGCAGGGAGCCCGACGTGGGACTCAATCCCGGGACCCAGGGTCACACCCAGGGCCTAAGGCAGGCGCGAAACCGCTGAGCCCCCAGGGACCCCCCCCCCCAAAACAGTCCTTTCTTGACAAGTTCACCCAACCTTCTGTAGCTATAAGGGTGGCAGTGGTGACGACCCCAAAGCTCTCTGAGGCTGGAGATGCAGCAGGAAGCCCGGGGCGGCCGAGCTTCTGCGGCTGACCAACAGGACGGGCTGCTCTCCGAGGGAACCCCACCGGCTGGACCGACCAGGCTGTGTCCTCATGACAGCGCAAGAACCGAGACTGGGAGCGGCTGTCGGCGTCTGCCGCGGCAACCTCGGGCCTCCGCTCATAGGGTGTCCCGGAGGACGCGAGGACAGGACAGGACAGGCCGGGCCGGGAGCGGGGGGACATCCGGGTGCCAAGCCACGTGCCACTGGCCGGCGCCTGCCGTGCGCTGTCCCGCGAGGCCCTGGGGTGCAGCCCCGCGCCCAGGGACCCGGGCCACCCGAGCTCTTGGCGGCGGCTGTGTAGGCCAGGCCCGTGGGAGGGGAGTGGCTGCCAGCAGGGCCTGGGCAGTGACTTCGGCCCCGGAGGCTGGGTCTCTCTCCACCGAGTGTGTTCTGTGGGGTGCGACGATCTCCCTCTCCTGGGGCCCCCTCGCTCGAGGTCATTGCCAAGAGTTGCACTTTAGGGACTCCAAGCGTTTTTCAGTGAGAGCAGGAAATGTGGCAAGTGTTGTGACGCCGTCCCGGGCCGGGTCCTGCCAGGAACCCCCTCCCGATGTCGTACCTACTTCATTTCACACCAAGGACATTTTTTTTTTTTTAATATCCAGGCTTGTTTTATTTTTTTTTTCCCTTGAATTACATTTATCTATATTCCAGCCCATTGTAACCCTTTTTTGTATATTTTTTTTATTGGAGTTTGATTTTGCCGACACAGAGCACAACACCCAGGGCTCATCCGTCCGGTGCCCCCGTCAGTGCCCGTCACCCAGTCCCCCGTCCCCCGCCCACCTCCCCTTCCACTGCCCTTGGTCGTTTCCCAGAGTTAGGGCCGCTCATGGTTTGTGTCCTTCTGTGATTTTTCCCACTCATTTTCGACACCAGCGGTTTTTTGTCCGACTCCTCCCTCAAGAGTTGCTCTATGACACAGTGGTGCTCGGGGAGGCGTAACTGGTCACATCCAAGTGCCCAGGGCGGGTCGCGGCAGAGCAGGAACCGCGAGGCCATCAGTACAAGTGTGACGCAGGGCAACGGTGACGGGGACCGGGCGGGGGGGGGGGTCACACAAACAAGCTCTGGGCTCAGTAAACCCCGTGATCGCGAGGGAAATGGGGGGAGGCATGAAGACAAGGCCCCGGGCGCCCCGGGAGAGGTCCCAGCGCATGCAGGGCGCCCGCTGCAGAGCGGGGAGCTGGGCCGCGAGCTCCACGCCAGTGTCGCCCGCATCTGCCCGGACGCAGCGTCCCTGGGCCCAAGCGACGGCCGCCTCCCATATTCAGTGGGGTGCAGGCTTGATCGCCGGAGCCGCCGACCAGAGGGGAAGCAGCCAGCGGCCGCCGAGCCACAAGCTGCACAGCTCCGGGCCGTGGGCTCCGTGGGCCCCACCGAGGCCCTGGCGCTACCGTGACCACCTGACCACGGTCGGTGCCGGCGCCACAGGAGCCCCAAGGGGCTCGGCCGAGCAGGTGGGCTGGGTGGGCCTGGGCAGGTGCACGCGGCTCAGGGTGTCCCGTGGGGCGGGCGGGAAGGCGTGATCTGCTGGCACGAGCGTGCTTGGGAGGTGCCTCTGAACCCTGGGCTCTGAGCTCCTCAACGCGTGGTGGCCAGGCCTGCGGGAAGCCCGTGGTGCCTGCCGCCATGGTCCTCGCCGTGGCCCGGGTGAGCAGGGAGGCCAACGCCGTGCCTGACGCTGCCTGTGTCCAGGGCCCAGCTCGTGCGGCATGGTGGGGGGGGGGGCGTGTGCAGGTGGCACCGCTGGGCCCATCACCCGGAGCGCGTTGCAGGGGGTAGGGAGCCCCACCCTGGTGGCTCACGGGCTGCTGCCTGGTGAGTGCTCCCGGGCTCCCCCTCCTGGGGGGCAGGTACAGGAGGGCAGCCGGGTCGAGGCGGGGCCGACGGCAGAAGAGCCTGTTCTGTTTTGTCACACGTGGTCCCAGCTACACCCAACACTCAGCAGACGCGGGGGGAAGGGGGTCACTTCCTTCAGGAGCCGAAATGTCGACGTGTGCGGCACTCGCATCCCCATACTGTCAACACCCACCAAGTGCGGCATCAGAGTCCCCGGGGATGGACAGCGAGGCATCCGAGATGTCACCTTAGCAAGGCGGAGCTTGAGCGCTGACACGTGGGCCGCCTGCAGATCCGGGTGTGCAAAGCCGCCTCGTCCCTCAAGGTGTTCAGGGTTAATCACCAATTAAAATCGGCCAAGACAGCGAATGTGCACGGGCACTGGGAAATTCATCTTCCTCCTGGGAGCGAGCAGGGCCCCCACCCAAGTGAGGAGGCGCTGCCGGCGGTGCTCCCAACCCCCGAACCCCCCCCCAAAAGGGGCCAGAGCGGGAAAGACCCTGCGGTTTCTGCTCCGGTTTAGGGCAGCGTCGCCTCCTGGGCGGGACCGCGGGAAGCACACGCGGCCCGGGCAGGGGAGCCTGCGGGTGTGCAGAGCACAAGCTTCTGCCCCCCGCATTGCCCTGCGGTGTGTGCCGTGCTGTGGGGCAGCGGGGGCGCCTTGGGCTTATCCACACGCACGCACAGGCACACACACATACCTTGAGCGTTTGTATTAGCGCCTTTAGAGCCATAAACCAATCTGCCCTTAGAGAAACATACATTTCCTTAAACTGGCCTGTGGCCTTGAAGCCCTGTCCACGCAAACCTTTCTTCCCCTCTGATATTTCATCATGAAAAATAATTTTTTAAGGTTTTATTTATTTACTTGGCAGAGTGAGCAAGCGAGCACAAGCAGGGGCAGAGGCAGAAGGAGAAGCAGACGCCCCCGAGCAGGGAGCCCGACATGGGGCTCCACCCCAGGACCCCGAGATCACGAGCTGAGTTGAAGGCAGACGCCTCACCCACTGGGCCCGGGCGCCCCTGCAAGACAACTTTTGAGTCCACGCTCACTTGGTAAGGACTGCACATGAGAACCCCTGTAGGCACCGCCTCGTTTCTACTGTTACTTTATTCACTTGCTTTATCACGGATCCATCCACTTGTCTGTGTTTTTATGCGTCTATCAATTATTCGTATCGTTGTGATGCATTTCAAAGTAAATTGCAGACCCTTCTTTTGAAATACGTCAGCATTCGTATCACTAACACCCAAAATTTGTTCCCAGGTGGTTTTTTGCTTTTTGAGTAAAATCTATAGGCAAAGAAACACAGAAACGTGAATTGTGTATTTGCTGTTTTGACAAATGCATGTAATTAAGGCCCCTGTCCTGACACAGAGCAGTTTACCGCCTGCTCCCCGCCCCTCGTCCATCGATCTCCGCCACCCATCCCCTACCCCCCATCCTGGAGGCAAACCTTGTTGGCTACTATTGATCGGCTCCCCCACCGTGGACTGCATATGTTCTCATTGGGACGGCTGCTTTCATCCTGCATAATAGGTGTAGAGTCCTGCGTGCTGCTGTGTGTGTCGAAGCATTGCTTTCTACTAGTGACCAGTATTCCATCGACTACGTGTGCCACGGTGTGTTTACCCACTCTTCCACAGATGGAAACCTGGGCAGCTTCCACGTTGAGGATAGTATCAATAAAGCTTACAATATGCTGTGAGTTTTCTATTCGTGTGCACATATGTGTGTGCATGTACATATGTGTGCCATGCATACATGTGCATGTACATATGTGTGTCTGGGTGTGTGTACATGCATGTGCATGGATGCGTGCATGTACATATGGGTGCATGGCATGTATGTGTGTACATGCATGTGCACATACATATGGGTGCCTGGGTGTGTGCATGTACATGTGTGTGCATGGATGCATGCATGTACGCGTGGGCACATGGTGTATATGCGTGTACATATGTGTGCACATACATATGGGTGCCTGGGTGTGTGCATGGATGCATGTGTGTACATATGGGCACATGCTGTGCATGTACATATGTGTGCATGTACATATATGTGCCTGGTGTGTACATGCATGTGCATGGATGCATGTACATATGGATTGTGGTGTGTATGTGTGTACATGTGTGTGCATGTGCATATGGGTGCCTGGGTGTGTGCATGTACATGTGTGTGCATGGATGCTTGCATGTACATATGGGGTGTGTACATGTAGATACATGTGCATGGATGTGTGCATGTACTTATGGGTGCCTGGGTTGTGTGTGCATGTACATGCGTGTACATGGTTGCATGTGCATGGATATGCATGGACGTGTATACACATGTGCATGTGTGTGAATTGTGTGTGCACCGATGTATGCACGTACATATGTGTGCATCTGTGTGAATTGTGTCTGCATGTGTGTACATGTGTGTGCACATGTGCGTGTGTGTGCACGCTTGTGCATGTATTTAGGTCTATAGGTTGTTGTCTCTCCCAGGTAAATACTACCCAGGTGTGGGGTTGTTGGGTTATAGGGTTGACAGATGTTTGATTTTACAAGAAATGACCAGACGTCCTTGTAGGAAATTTTTCTTGCTCTTAAAGAGAGGGACCCCCCAGATCAGAACAAACCAAGCCAAACCCTCCCTTGGGGCAAGGCTGTGCATAGACGTGACGCCCAGGATGTCGCAGCCCTGAGCTCAGAGCTGACACCTGGAAAGGAACGGGGTTCTCAGTGACACAGGAGCCCTGGAGGGACCAGCTCTGGGGCTGCCTTCCTTGGACACATGCGAGCCAGTGACACCCCTTATTCCTTAAGACAGTTGGAGTCAGAGATTCTTTTAAAAGAAATCGATAGAGCTGTGCTCCGCTCAGCAGCACAAATCCTAAAAATTGACATGACACTGAGAAGATGAGCCAGGCCCCTGAGCGGGGAGGACACGCAAACTCCCGGGGAGTTCGCTAATTTGGGGATGAGCGCCGGGTGTGTGTGGAAGTGAGGATCACCGGATTCTACTCCAGAAACCACTATTGCAGTCCACGTCAGCACACGAAATTCAAGTTAAAAATGCATCCAGTAAAAGTATTTTTAGAGGCGCTCCTGGAGTATCTCATCCACGCAGCAAAGCGCCTCCGGAGTAACCCACAAACCAACACGCAGGGACCTGGCCCCCAGGGGCGGGAGCAGCGAGGCCTGACCCACAGCTCGCCCCACCGCCACGCTGTCCCCACGGGCCGCGCTTCCCGCGCCCTCGCCACATGCCGCCGAGGTTAGCCGGCCTGGGGCGGTGAGCAGGTGCAGGACACTGCGGCCCCCCGTGGCCCCCAGGTCCCCACCCGACAGGCTGGAATGCCCAGGGGACCTGCCGTGTGACCTCGGACCCGCGGCTCTGCGGGCCTCGGAGGTTGTGAACCGGGGGGCCAAGCAGTGCCCCCCCGGGGCCGTCCTGGGCTCTGCGCCCCGGCCTCCTTCCAGTCCCCGTCCCGGGCCACGAAGCGGAGAAGGGTCTCGGGGGTAGGAGGTCAGGGTGTCCCGTCTCCACATCCCTCCCCACATCCCTCTCACTGTAAGGGCTGCCGTCGGAACGCGCTGAACCCCCGCGTGAACCCCGAGCCGGGGAGGCTCCTACGCACATCTGGGTCTCGGTGCAGGACGCGCCCCACCGCGGGGACCACAGGTGGCAGTGAAGCCGGAGGACAGCTGCCTGCGGGGGACACTCCAGGCGAATCAGAGGACTGGACCGCCCAGGCTTCTCTTTGCAGAGACTGACCTTAGAGACCCTGGAGTGGAGGGGCCGTTGGCCGCACCCAAGCAGTGGGTCTCCCAGAGCACACCCGCTCGTGCACAGTGCACCCGGCCTCTCCCCAGAGCCATCCATCACTTACCCTATTTTTTTAAATTTTTATTTTATTTTATTTATTTATGATAGTCACACACACAGAGAGAGAGAGAGAGAGAGAGAGAGGCAGAGACATAGACAGAGGGAGAAGCAGGCTCCATGCACCGGGAGCCCGATGTGGGACTCGATCCCAGGACTCCAGGATCGCACGCTGAGCCAAAGGCAGGCGCTAAACCGCTGCGCCACCCAGGGATCCCCACTTACCCTATTTTTAATTAGCATTTTTCCTCCAGCGGCCTCCTTACAAAAACGAGCGAACGGCCTGACCCTCGGCCTCCACCCCGGACTCCCTCGCAGCCGCACGTAAGTGCCAAAGGAGAAGCGGCTGCTGGAGTCCCTAAAGCCCATCGCCTCGGAACCGGTCGCTGCCATTGCTGACTCTGCGGTGGGAGGGTCGCCCCGGCCCCTGTGGGCCCAGCCGTGGCCAGAGGGTCACGAGCCCAGAACGTGTCCCGAGAGGGTTTGCATGGACACCCAGGGCCCACGCCCCTCCGTCGGCTCCATCCCCGCTAGCGCCGAGGGCGCCAGTCCAGGGCTTCAGCCGGGAGCCTCCTGGGTCTGTCGCCTCCCGCTGAGCCCCCCGACACCCTCCCCACCAGCACCCCCGCAGCCCCTCGCTCTCGCCCGGCTGCCTGGAAGCCTCGATGTCAGGCCAGGGCTCCTCACACCTTGTCCCTGCCGCTGGTGCTCCCCGTGGAACCGGGCTCATGCATGCACCAGGAAGCCCCAGATGCCTGCTGGTGCCAGCACCCATGGGACAGCGAGTCCCCATCAAAATCAGAGCAACATGGGGAGCCTTGCAGCCCCCGGGAGCACCACGCCCCACGGCCCCCGGAGCGCCAGCCCTGCTCGGCCTCCCCACTCACCAGCCGCCCGGTCAGCTGCTCCTCCCTCAGCCCCTGCCTGGGCCACAGCCTGGTCGCCCTCTCCTCCACACACTTTCCTGTCGGGGGACCTCCACGGGCGCCCCTCTTTCTCCGGGACTGCTTCCCTCAGGCGTCAGCGGCTTGGATGCACCCCCTTCCTCGGGTCTGTCAGAGGGGACTTCTCCGATGGTGTCGTGGTGAACGGCGTCCTCTCACCTGTCGCTTTGCCTTCCTGTCCTTCGCAGCATGTGGCGCCCAGCGGGTGACCTGTGATTGTTCATTTTCGTTTGTCTCCTTCCATTTAGGATGGAGGCGTCCTAAGAAGCTGGACTGTGTCTTGGCCTAAGAGCGTGCCTGGCAAACAGTAGGCACTGAATCGTGCACGACTAAATACCAGGCTGGACTGAATACTGACTGTGGGGCCCCAGGTCCAAGAAAGAGCACGACGGGGAGCACTGCCTCCTGCAGCTCCGCCGCCTTGCGCCTGCGGCCGCACCCTCCTTACCAGATTTACTGTCGTGCAGGAGGCAAGAGGTCACAGGACGCATGGGCAAGTAGCAGGTGCTCGTACCCCGGGACTCGGCGGCTCTCAGGGGCAAAACCAAACAAGTGAAAAAACAAAAATCCCCCTCGAGGCCAGAATTATCAAGGCTCAAAGGGCTCAGAGATGCAAGTGCGTGGGCGGGCCGGGGAAAGGCCCTCGAAGACCTAGAGCCCACGCTGGCCTCTGAGGACCGTGTCCCAGGGAGGTGTGCCTCCCACCGAACTGTCTTATTACGGCCGATGGTCTGCTGGGTCCGGAATTTGGGCAAGATGTGGCTGGGTGGCCCCCGACCCCACGCGGCGCCGGGCCCACGCGGCCCCCCACCCCTGTTTGCAGCCTCCACGTGTGGCCCCTCTGGCGTCGCAGCCCCAGCATCCGGTGACCAGGGCCCAAGCCCCATGCCAGCAGCCCACGGCCCACGGGCCCTGGCGGCGCTTGCAGAAGGGCCCCCACCCCGAGCAGGGGTCACCAGGTTACAGGCTCCTCGTCTGGGAGCCCCTGTCGTCCCCTAAAGGGACGTGACCTCGAGGGCCAGCCGGCCGCACTGTCCGGGTGACGGTTGCCCCCCCCCACTCGTGCCTGTGAAGGTCACTCTGGCAGCACCTGCAGCTCCTCCGTGTCTGCCGCAGAGGCTGCTGCCCGGCATGGAACAGAGCCTGAGGACCTGTAAGTCACGGTGCAGGGGTCCCAGGATCAAGCCCGCAGGGGGCCTGCTGCCCCCCTGCCTGGGTCTCTGCCTCTCTCTGGATCTCAGGAATAAATAAATAAAATCTTAAAAAAAAATTCAACTGAGTTGAATTTTTTTTTCGCAGTTCTAAGAGTAAGAACTCCAGGAAACACAGAAGCGACACATGGCCCTTGTGACCAGGACTCAGGAGTCACCCGGCATGGTTTCCGTGTCCTCCTGTCATTCCGAGCAGTCGCAGGCCCACCCAGCCTTGAGGGGCGATGACATAGCTCCCCACTTATCCACCAACGGAGTGTCACAGAATTGGCAGCTATGTTTTTGAGCTTAGGTGGGGGTGACTCAGAGGGGAGTGGTTGGGCGAGCGAGCGTCTTGAGTTAAAAGCTCGGGCAGCGCTGGGATGGGGCAGGTGCATCTAGGAACCTGAGACCCGTGGTCCCCGTGGGAGACTGACACGGTGAAATGTCAACGCCAAAGGCTTAGGCGAGGCGAGTTTGAACACCTGGTTACGGGGGCTGGTCTTTAACCTGTAGACAAGCGGGCCCTATGCTTGCATGTCCCTAAGGGAAGTTTAAAAGACACATTTTTAGGTTCACATCCATTTTCCCCCCATAATTTAGAAGTGATTGCAACCAGTGAGAATATGGCTAAGGTGAACAAGACAGGAAACCACAAATGTTGGGGAGGATGTGGAGAAAGGGGGATCCTCTGCACAGCGGGTGGGAATGGGAACTGGTGCAGCCGCTCTGGAAAACTGTGTGGAGGTTCCTCAGAGAGTTAAAAATAGACCTGCCCTGCGACCCAGCAACTGCACTGCTGGGGACTGACCCCAAAGACACAGATGCAGTGAGACGCCGGGACCCCTGCACCCCGATGTTCACAGCAGCAGTGTCCACAGCAGCCACACTGTGGAGGAGCCTCGGTGTCCGTGGACAGATGATGGATAGAGAAGACCTGGTCCATGTGCACCTGGAACATTCCTCAGCCGTCAGGAGGGACCAGCACCCAGCATTTACATGGATGTGGACGGAACTGGAGGGGATGATGCTGAGCAATGTCGGTCAGTCTGAGAGGGACAGTCACCACAAGGTCTGACTCACACGGGGACTGTAACGGTGACGGGTTATAGGGCCAAGGAGGGGAACCGACGGGAAATAAAACAGGGAGACAAACAGGAGACTCCAACTCTGGGAAACGAACACGGGACTGAGGAAGGGAGGTGGGGGGTCGGGGTGACTGGGTGACGGGCACTGAGGGGCACTTGGGATGCGCATGGGATGCGCATGTCACACTACATGTCCGCAGACTGAATTTAAATTTTAAAAAATATTAAAGAAAAAAAAAAAGAACACAAAAAAGGAGTCGCAAAGCGCAGCGGCTCTCTGAGGCCCTGAGGCTGCGGAGCTGCCCCCTTGCCCGGCCGAGCCCTCCCGGCCTTCCGCGGTCTTGCGGGAGCCGGGGTGCGCAGGTGCAGGTGCGGGTGCAGGTCCCCGCAGGCCCCGGCGTCCCGTCCCACAGCGCATGCGCAGCCGCATCATGGGCGGCCCGGCGCTCCAGGTAGCGAGCTGGCTCCGGGGGGCAGGGGGGCTGCGGGCTGGCTCCGTGGGGGGGCTGCGCCCTGGGGTACGGGCTGGCTCCGCGGGGGGCTCCCCAGCTGCGCTCTGAGGCGCCGCCCAACACCCCCCCCCCGCAGGCGTTGCGCCCCGACTCCGGGCCTCGCGCCCCGCCCCGGGCCCTGCCCCGCGCCCCACCCCGCGCGCCTCCCCTGCTCCGTGGCCCCGGGGGAGGGGGCGCCCACAGAGACGCAGGGTGAGCTGGGGCAGGGGGCACCCCCGCGGGCAGCACGCGCTCTGTCCGCCCCCCCCGCCCAGGGCTCCGCGCGCCCCAAGACGCCCCGTCCTGCCCCTGGGCCCGCAGGGTGGGGAGGAACCTGCCCGGGGCTCCAGGCAGCAGGTGCAGCGCAGGGCGTCTGGG